CAGTTTCAGCCCGTGAACGTTTTTTTTCCTTGGACATTTTTGCTTTTCCTGGCCTTTGCATATTTACAGAATATGCCATTATATTGATATGCTCATAACTAATTAACCGTGCATCGGTTTAAAGCAAACTTTGTATGTAACTTGACTAGAATTTCACCTAGTTTCATAATATCCAACTTTCATCCATGTTTAACATGTTTAAAATGATGTTTGTGTAATTTTGCCCATATGCCATGCATATTTAAACCGGACATGCATCATACTTGGTTGTGCATCATGCCATGTTGATGTGATGGTTGTTTACTATGTTGCTTGCATCTTTCCGGTGTTGCTTCTTCGGGTTAGTTCCGATAACGTCGCGTTTGTGAGGATCCGTTCGACTACGTCTGGTTGTCTTCTTCATGGACTCATTCTTCTTCCTTGAGGGATCTCAGGCAAGATGACCATACCCCCGAAATCACTTCTATCTTTGCTTGCTAGTTGCTCACTCTTTTTCTATGCCGCGATACCTACCACTTGCTATATCATGCCTCCCATATTGCCATGTCAAGCCTCTAACCAACCTTGTCCTAGCAAACCGTTGTTTGGCTATGTTACCGCTTGCTCAGCCCCTCTTATAGCGTTGCTAGTTGCAGGTGAAGATTGGAGTTTGTTCCATGTTGGAACATGGATATTTGTTGGGATATCACAATATCTCTTATTTTAATTAATGCATCTATACACTTGGTAAAGGGTGGAAGGCTCGGCCTTATGCCTGGTGTTTTGTTCCACTCTTGCCGCCCTAGTTTCCGTCATACCGGTGTTATGTTCCTAGATTTTGCGTTCCTTACACGGTCGGGTTATAATGGGAACCCCTTGACAGTTCGCCTTGAATAAAACTCCTCCAGCAAGGCCCAACCTTGGTTTTACCATTTGCCACCTAGCCTTTTTCCCTTGGGTTCTGCAGACTCAAGGGTCATCTTTATTTTAACCCCCCTGGGCCAGTGCTTCTCTAAGTGTTGGTCCAACCTGAGCGATGTCCGGCGCCCCCTGGGCAACCAGGGTCTATGCCAACCCGACGTCTGGCTCATCCGGTGTGCCCTGAGAACGAGATATGTGCAGCTCCTATCGGGATTTTTCGGCACATCTGGGCGGCTTTGCTGGTCTTGTTTTACCATTGTCGAAATGTCTTGTAATCGGGATTCTGAGTGTGATCGGGTCTTCCTGGGAGAAGGAATATCCTTCGTTGATCGTGAGAGCTTGTGATGGGCTAAGTTGGGACACCCCTGCAGGCTTTTGAACTTTTGAAAGTTGTGCCCGCGGTTATGGGCAGATGGGAATTTGTTAATGTCCGGTTGTAGAGAACTTGACACTTAACTTTATTAAAATGGATCAACCGCGTGTGTAGCCGTGATGGTCTCTTTCCGGCGGAGTCCGGGAAGTGAACACGGTTCTTGTGTTATGCTTGAACGTAAGTAGTTTCAGGATCACTTCTTGATCACTTCTAGTTCACGACCGTTGCATTGCTTCTCTTCTCGCTCTCATTTGCGTATGTTAGCCACTATATATGCTTGTGCTTGCTGCAGCTCTACCTCACTACCCTTTCCTACCCATAAGCTTAAATAGTCTTGATCTCGCAGGTGTGAGATTGCTGAGTCCCCGTGACTCACAGATTACTTCCAAAACCAGTTGCAGGTGCCAATGATACCAGTGTAGGTGGCGCAACCGAGCTCAAGGAGGAGCTCGATGAAGATCGTGTTTGTTGTGTTGTTTCGTTTCCAGTTGATCATTAGTGGAGCCCAGTCGGGGCGATCGGGATCTAGCATTAGGGGTTGTCTTTTTTTATTTGGTTCCGTAGTCGGACCTTGATTGTATTCTGGATGATGTAATGTTATATTTATGTATTGTGTGAAGTGGCGATTGTAAGCCAACTCTTTATCCCTTCTTTTTCAATACATGGGATGTGTAAAGATTACCCCTCTCGTGACATGCCTACTATGCGGTTATGCCTCTAAGTCGTGCTCCGACACGTGGGAGATATAGCCGCATCGTGGGTGTTACAGGCCCACCCTAGGGCGCGCCCCCCTCTCTCCCCCTCTTGGCCGCCCCCACCATCCCATTTAAGGCTGCCTCCGCCCACCCTAGGGCGCGCCCCCCTCTCTCCCCCTCTTGGCCGCCCCCACCATCCCATTTAAGGCTGCCTCCCCCTCCC